GGTCTCGCCAGAATTCAGTAACGGTGATAGGGGTCCATCCAGAAGTGATGTAGCGGTCTCACCAAAATTCAATATTTTTGGGTCAACTCCCATATTAAAAAATAAAGGTGATAGGGGTCCATCGAATAATGATGTAGCGGTCTCACCATATTTTAGTAATTTTCAATGGGCTACTCCCGTTTCAATTTATAATAGTAACAGTGATAGGGGTCCATCTAGTGATGTAGCGGTCTCACTGAATTCGAATAGTAATAATTTAGGGTCAGTACTCCCGAGAAGGAATATTTTAGTTCCATATTTACCAATTAGTATGCGCAATGATATTTTAAATTATTTTCACGATGCTCCCGAATCGGGTCATATGGGTGTTAAAAAGACAAAAGAAGCTATTAAACAGCGATTTTATTGGAATAATATGAATACTGACATTCACAATTATGTTAAATCTTGTAAAATTTGTCAAGAATATAAAGTTGAAAGGCAGAAGCCTAAAGGTTTAATGGGAGACGTCCCGCAAGCCACCTCAATTTTTGAAACATTGTTTATTGATTTTATTGGTCCTTTACCAGTTAGTCGTATTTATAGAAATAAATTTTGTCTTGTAGCTATTGATCAGTTAAGTAGATGGGTTGAATTATTCCCAATGTCTTGTCAAACTGCTAAAAAGTTGTTCAAGTTTTAGAAGATCAAGTATTTTGTCGTTTTGGTTCTCCTAAGAATATTTTGAGTGACAATGCAACTCATTTCGTAAACAAAACTATGAAATCTTTATGTAAAGAATGGGATATTAGACATGTAACAATTTCTGCGTACCACGCTTGTCCGAATAGAGCTGAAAGAGTAAATGCTGATTTAGTTAGAATGATAGCTAGTTATTTAGAAAATGCTCATGGAAATTGGGATCTTCATATCCAAAAATTTGCGTTAGTTTTGAGAACTTCAATTAATAATAGTACACAAGCTTCGCCAGCTTTACTAAATTTAGGGCGAGAAATTCAATTACCAATTGACAGAGCTTTACAGTCTAATATTTGCGATAATTTAGAGTCAGATAGGGAAATTTTAGCTAATTCAACTCCAGAATATTTAAAAGAAATTATTTCTCAGGTTAAAAATAATATAATAAAAGCTCACCAGGTTAACAAAGTATATTTTGATGCGAAAAGACGCGATGTTTCATTTAATGTTGGTGATAAAGTTTTGGTAAGAAACCATGAATTGTCTAATGCTGATCAGAACAAAGCTAAAAAATTTTGTAAAAAATGGATTGGTCCTTTTGTAATTCTTAAAAAACATGATTTTTCGTATACCTTGAATATGCCTATTAGAATGATTCCTAAACGTCATGTTTCTGATTTAAAACCTTTCTTTGAACGTAAAAAACTCTTTAAATTACCAATTTCATTAGCAGAAGTAAAATTAAATAAGAAACCAGAAATTCCTGCTCAACGTCAGCTTAGAGCAAGAACCAAAATTTGTTAGAAGATATAAATTATGGAGGTTTAACCGTTGTTGTTTTTATTAATTCTTTTATATAGATGTATTCTAACGTTAAATTCCCACCTCCACCTGTTGTTGATTCTAATGATGATCAGAGTGATGTTGCTGCGTTATCTTTACTTCCGGTTTTGTCGTCAGAGTTCAAGCAATACCGTAAGCACTTGAACGAGATGAAATTCTTTACCGCTATGCATCCAAAGTACGAGCAAGTCAATTGTTGGTCAATTCCACCGTCGTCAAAATCATCGAACGTCGTTCCTGATAATCCCACTATTTATATCGACACCGAAGATAAATTTCATCAATTTAGTAATATGTTGGATAATTTATTAGTTAAAGAAATTGCCATAGATTTAGAGTTTGATTCAAACCATCTTTTTCACGATTGTACCGCCTTAATGCAAATGTCAAGTATTAATTTTAACGTAATTATTGATCCTTTCACTGTATTTAATATGATTCGAGATAAGATTGGAAAATTAATGTTAAACGAGAAAATTGTAAAATTAGTTTTTGATAATTGCGATTTGAGAGCGTTACAGAGAGACTTTTGTATTTTTGGAGTTGGTGTTATAGATGTTCAAAATATCTGTATGCAAATTCTCAATTTGTCAGAGAAACCGAGTCTCAAATTTTGTGTTAAACATTTTTTAAATGTCGATATCGATAAGTCTTGTCAGAATTCTCCATGGTTTTTGAGACCGATAGTTGATAAGTATGCTAGTTATGCGATAAATGATACAATTTTGTTACTAAAGTTATGGAATAAGCTTAAGTTAGAGTACAAGATTGATATGTATAGCTTAAATCAGTCTAAACAGTCAACGTTGATAAGTTATCAATTTCCGAGAAGTAAGTCCTCTGTAGAATCAGATTTTTCTAAAATGTTGAATCTTTTAAAAATTGTAAATGTTCAAGTTTTGAATGATATTTCTAAAATTTTTGAGTCACGAAAAGATTTGTTTAGAGAGTTACATGATTGGAGATTTTCAAAAGCTAGAAAGTTAGATTGCAGGCTTAACAGTTTTTTGAGTCTAATTGAATTGGGCAAAATATTTCGTTTCCTTCCTCTGAATTCTATTTATTTACAAAAGATACTTCGTGGTCACTTGGTGCGATCTGAATTCTTAGAAGAAATTGTTGTTGTTATTCAAAAATTTTTGTCTCGTGAGATTGCTCAAATTTTACAAATTCCAATTGAGAAAGATGAGTCAAAATCTGTAAAGATTTCCCAAAGTTGTCAAGGCGTAATTGACATAAATGAATGTTGGGAGGTGACCGAACCCGCAGGTCCCTCTGAGTCAGAAATTGAATCACTTTGCAGTAGGGTAGCCGTTTTAGGTTCCCTTGAAAATAATCCTGAAATTGGGAGGGCGACTGATGAAAGTTCCCTTGTCGTAGATAAAATGGAAATTGAGCAAATTCACGATGAAAGTAGTAGTTTAAATGTCAATTCTCAAAGTATAGATCGTCCAATGACCAAAAAGTATAAAAATTTTCTGAGTAGAACTTTGAAGAAGCAAAATTTCAAACGCAAAAATGAGGAAAGAGTGAAAGCTGGTTTGCCAATTATGATTAAAAGTAGAAATGCAGGACTAGCTCATAGGAAGAGGACTGAAGCGAGGAAACTTTTAAAACTACCAACGGGTCCTTTGTTGCCCCCCGGGAGTTATTTTCGGAGGGGGAGAGTATCAGGACATGGTCCTTTATAATATATATATATGTGTATAAGTATAGGTATAGCGTCAGCTTAATATGTATAGTCATGATAAATGTAATATGGATATATGAATAGAATGTTCTAGAAGCTTCGAGAGAGAGAGAGAAGCATTGTATGTAGAGTAGAGTGAGTAGAGAGTCAGTCTTCGGGTGGCGGCTGGCGAGTACAGTCACAATAAAATGTGCTCTCCGTAAAATATTCCCCAGTCTCCACTTACATATTATTTGTACACCACTACCATCATCATCCATTAATCATCATCCCCAACTAACCACACCCACCATACGGGGAGAAGGATGTCGACTTATCAAAGGAGGACTAGGGCCTGGAATCTGGTTCGGTAAGGTTAAAGGGTCGGGTAAGTCGAGGTCTGTACAGTCATGAGGTACATAGTCGAGTAGGGAACCCTTTAGCGATTATCACCACTCACTCATAATGTTTATTATGGATTAACTAATCTAATATCTATCTAACCGTATAAATTACAACGGTGCCACTACACACTGGACACCACTTATACCAATTTCATTAACTGCAGCTTAAACTGCTATGATTACCATCTTAAATCTAGTCTAAAATAAATGTGACTATTCTTTAAGTGGAAGTGGACAGCTAAAAGAAAAAGGCAGTAGCAATGTGATAAATTGGTATCGCTAATTTGGCTTGCAATTGATATTTATGCGAAGAATATGTATATTAACCAAAGCGTGCATATATTGACTGATATGATTTTAATTTTAAGTGGGATTTCTTTACGAAATATCACAAATTGAAAAGTTAGCTTAAATTCAACAACATTACCAGCTTTGCTGATTCGTACAGATGTATTATCACGCTCGCAATTATCACGCTCGCAATTACCGCTTAATTACCAATTACGTTGGTAATTAATTTCACAATTTATACTTATCACGCTATTAGGTTTTAATCGTTCGCCAACAGTTTTTCCGCATATGTGTATGAGATTTGCATATGTAAATTTCGAATGGCAGTTGAATATTTTTATGTCTTAACTTAATGCGTAGAATGATCTAGATAAGATTGGAAGTAGATGACGACATCATCCCAACAATATTTCCGGTGCAAAGTTGAGAAAGATGAGAGGACGTACATATGTACCTGTTCGTGTATCTGCAATTTAAAACCCGTTATCAACATTTGCATTTGACGATAATTAGTGCCTTTAAAAATAAAGTAATTTCCAATTTTACTTTAATTGTATTCCTATAATTCGTGCACATAGATCGTGTTGCTACTTGCCTGAAGAGATTTCGATGAAATTATCTTGTCCATGTTCAATGACGGAAAGTGTTGTGTCGCCAGAGTAATAAAAATGATCCACCGGAAAGGCAGATGCGGTCAAATTTGCGTAAGATCTGGTAAATATGATTTTTTTAAAATTAAACTTCATATTTTTTACTGAAAATATTAATTATTTAGTACACTCTAAATAAAATCATTACCAAATCATTACCAAAATGCACACGTATATGACTCTGCAAAAACGGTAATAATAACCACCGGCTGGTAAAGAAATTGATTGAACCCGAAGTGGTAATAAAGAACACCTTTAGGGATAAAATCAATACCGTGATGTATGACAGATGTACTACAATATGTAGTAAAATGTCTACCGCCTGGTAATAAACCATACCACTTTGTACACGGCGTGCTACTCATACCGGTATTAATGCTTTTTATATGTATACCCCAATATTACCAAATGTTGTGCAGATTTCCACCGAAAATAATACATTTATTTATTTTCTTTACAATAATCTTTCACTCAATTATATTTATTGTAAAACCATTTTAAAACATACTTACATAAGTATAAAATTTAAGTATAATGCAAACTATGGTTTTTGACACTCGTCTGTCCCCCCTTCAAATTCCGATGAATCTCCAGTCGATTTTGGATGAGCCCACACCGGTTGACGTCTTGCAGAAAAATCTCTGTTCTGATTTCCAACTCAAATTTTTGCTTCACTGAAAAAAATAAACATAACATTATTATTTACTCGTTCCTATTAAGATGGTGGTCGTGCTCGATCACCATCTTCAAGGCACCTACATATGATAATTTGATACTTACCTGTTTCCAAAAATTCTATATAATTTCCAGAAGTTTTTATCACTTTCTTCCACGGGCAGAATAGGATTAATTTCGCCATTTTGACTTGAGTTGAGCTGAGCAGAAACTAAAACTGAAAAATGCGCCACTGTGTAGCGTCTCACAATCCATACCAAATGTATTAAAATTCTTACCACTATGGTAATAAACCACACCAAAATGTAGATCTCGTCAGCACCACAACTTGTAGTGCACTTGATTAAAATTATGGTAAAGAATGTTATCTAAATTTGAAGGATATAATTACCAGCTCGTAGGAATTTATTACCAAAATTATAAAGATAACTTAAAATATTGTGGTGGAAGGCCAGTTACCCGGTTGGTATTGATACGGTAATAATCCGGTATAATTTTTGTAGGACGCGTCATTACCAAGAGCTCGGTAAAGACGCTTATTAGGAATTCTTTACCAAGTTGCTAAGAGTGTAACTATTAATCAGCACGAGATGGTTTGTTTAAGTTCAAAGGATAAGTTGAGCATTAAATATTTTACATAGAGTGCCTAAAGCAAGGTACGATTAATATCTTACCATTTTTAACTCCTGCCCTCCATAAAAACTGCAATGTGCTGTAGAATTTTTGCAGGTAGAGAACCACAAGGGAAACTACAATTCTTGAACTCGGGCGACCCATTCATCTTCTTCATAAATTAGAAAGCTGTGTTGAAGAGTGCAAAATTTTTGCTCAAAATGTAATCATCAAAATAATTGAGGTCAAGTGGGTCAATTAGGTGGTCAAAAAAATTGCATGACAATCGAGTGCAGAATGTGGGATGTAAATTAATCTGAAGGAGATGGCTTTAGTGAGGCCTAGTCCTAAATTGAATATTATTTTAGACAAATTAGTTTTATATTATGCGTAAAGTCAGCTAAATAGGTTATTTGTTTTACCATTTCTGACTCCAGCCCTCCAATCAAATTGTCACATTTTTATAAAAAACTGCAGTGCATAGAATTTCTGCAAAATAAATGCAAAATTAAGCAGAATTTACTGATCACTCTTGTCCAGGTAGGATTTAAGTGCGTAAAATGACGTGATTTTGCCTCGTCAGCTACTCGAAAACTTGCCAGTCGTTAATAAATAAATGAGTAATCGAATCATGTATGCAAGTCGAACAATGCTAAGGATCATCCATGCACAAAAATAGGAAAGTATGCATGAAACTTATAAATTTAGATACGAAGTTTGCAACCCTAATTGTGTATAAAATTTTTCAAAAATTTAATTTTTTTAAATTTTTTCACGATTTATGCTTGGCCCTAAATATCGAAAAGTATCTACATGAGGGCAAAATTAACTTGTGAAATATGAACCCTGATCAGATACAAGACCAAATGGAACCGTTTCGGGGACATGCTTATAGCACGTGATAAAATTTAACGAATTTTGAATTCTACATTTTTACTCTGAGAATACTTCAAAAATTTGAAGCGCAAAATGCCTCTGTGTCAGTAGGTCATAAATCGGTCACATCCTTTATGCAGGATCCAGTCCCTCATGTTTACTGAATAATACTAGCGATATTAAACTTGCACAGCAAGGAAAATATCCGGGCTCAAATCCAGGCCGCATATTTAGATTTATGTACTGGCTAAGATAATTAAATCCAGAGCCAACTCAAACACTCTAAGAAACCGGGTACTAAATTTCCACTCGGCAATAATGCACGAAGTACTTGTCACATTACTCGTATTAATGACAACGAGTATTATGTTTGGTAATGTCGTGATGATAAAAAATTTCCCAATCAGTAGAAATTCTTAACCACGTTGGTAGCAAATCATTACCGACTTAATACATACTAGCACCCATGTGGCTCTACCGGATTGTTTACAGAGCAAATACAAGTGAGGAACAGAGGAGGCTACTTGACATGCAAAAACATATGCATTTATGTTCATATGTTTATGTACATACATATTTATGTATAATATACATAGGTATATTATACCTATGCAAATAAGTACATGCATATGCATGGTGGTTTAAATTTTTCATGGGACAACACTAAAAATGCAATTAGTTACAAGATTTAGGATTTACATTTTTCATTAATTATTCTCAATACTAATGGAACACATGTGATAAAATTATTCAAATTTTGAACTTCAGAAGCAAAATTTCGGTAACTAATGGAAACTAACAAAGTTTTCTCATGCAAAATTTTTCCATTGTAGCGTGACAATGTCACGGTGACATTAAAACCACCCTGTATATAGTAAATAAATAAGTATTTACACATAGCCACCAATGCGAATTAATTATGCTACTTTAAAATGCCCAATTAAAAAAGTACGTCACCCTTTCGAACCGTAAAGGAGACTCGAAATTCTAGCAATGTCATAAATAATGCAACTCTCCCAGTCAGTAAAAATGCTTACGTACGTAGAACAATCTCAATTTAACATAGTGCAATGCGTCGAGCCAAGAACTAAATCATACACTAATGTATGTAAATTCCACAATATTAGTGTCTTTAGCCAGAAATCACGCCATTCACGAAGTTCATGTCGACGGACTTGAAATAAGATTAATTCTAACCTTATTTAAATAAATTTTCAAAAATTACACAATTCACTAAATCAAAATATGTACGTATTTATATGCGGCACTTTATTGGGTTTGATAACTTAATGTTAGGCAATACGGACTTACTAAGGCTTACGTTACATTTTGCTATCTCATATATCAATAAAAATATTGGGTGTATTCACTTCATCTTCGTATTTAGCATCACAACTAGTATTTGGCTCGGTAATAAAGTTGTACCATATCAGTACCAAATTTTTACTGACCAGTATGATTTTATAATTATTGCTTTCTAACTGGTTGTACACTGGGTACTAAATATAAATAAGAATATCCATCATCCATTTTGTCCAATAAAATATGTAGAACGACCCAACAAATTTCCTTCTTAATGATTAAAAATTAAATCGTTTAATTAACTCGTACACCTAAAGATGTATGTGCATATGTATACTTAATCACCTGGATAGACAAATGCATACTTACTTAGCACAGATAAACGTCGTAATCTTGGCTGGCTGACTTGGTTGATGATTTTGTCCTTACCTTTTGACTTGGTCCTGTTGTGGGGTAAAATTGTAGCTGATTCGATGTTGGAGAATGTGAATTCAAGGAAGAGTTGCATATATGCGTGTTGTGTTTGATATATTACGGATTTTATATTTTGGCTGGTTTCAGTTGTTGGTATTAAATAATATTTACACACGCGTTTGAAGTAATAAATACCTTTGATTTTTCTAAGCAATTCTGCTGTTTCTGTTTTTTTAACGCATGAGTAACGTTCAGTGTAAAGCAGAAGATATTCATGCAGTAATTAATAGGAAACGGTGAGTCTATATGAAAGTGTCCACTTCCGTGGGATGATAAAAAAGTGTAAAATTACGCACAGAATATCTGTTTAATATATTTAATTGCAGGTTTGTTTTAGCAGGAATTTTAAATCAATTTTTTAGCATAGGCATAAGCACCACTAATTATTAGATGAATACATTGTAGGTACGTACAGGACAAAATAATGATAAGACCCTCAGTGCAATTAATTATAAACAAAATTATTTATGTAGATCTACATACACATAGGTATTGTTGTATATCTGCATACGAGGGCAATTATTTAAATAATATTTTATCTTAGAAATATGTAGGTTATTTTGCTATTGTTAAATAAAACTGTAAACAGCCATAAATACCATATCTCATGCATGGTTAGGTTCGAAATTTTACACGGGAAGAAGGACGTATTTAAATTTTAAAAGTTACCCAGGTATGATGTAATAGTGTGAATTTTAAGTATGGCATGTGGTTCTACTTACAATTGGGTGGCGCAGTTGCATTTGTGCTTGCAAAGGGTTGGTTTTGCTTTCTTTTACAAAATGGACAACATAGCGGACATGTATGCCGAAATCCCACACATATTAACTAGAGTAATTGATATGAGAAGGCAAGAGGACACTTGTGCAATGAATAATTCAAATCGTCACAGTCAATACAATGAAACGTGGGAAGAAATGAAATGCATCCAGCAAAGTATCTCTTATTACAACTGCCACAAAAACACCTTAATATCATTGCTGAGCTTAGATTGCATGATGGAAGCATTTTTCATGAGAAATAAAGGCACTTATTTGACTCAGACACATTATGTGGTCAATGCAATATAAGAGAAGAGGAAACGGTTTAGCATTTTTGTGTATGTGCAGAGTATTTATGGGCAGAAGGGATAAACTGACTGGACAATTTGACCCTAGAAATGGCGACTGGTCAAATTTCCTTAACCCTTGCAATCGTGAGAAACGTAGGTTAGTCTCAGAATGTGTGCAGATAAAATTAAGGCTAAGAAGAATGATGTTGGAAATGTAATCTCACTCTGCTCGTAACCTTGGTTTGGATAAGAATCAATTCAAGTTTTCTGCTATTGTAAATTAAGATAACATTATAAGTCTGTGAGTTGCATCTTACAAGTCACAAGTAAGAATTTATTTCTTATTCATATACTACAGTTGGATTCAGGATTGTCGAAATGCATTTCGGTAAGCTTGTAAATACTTTACTAACGATCTAAAATAGCGCTGCTGCCAGAAATATGATGGGAGTTAACAACGGGGACTTAAGGTAGGTGAATATCTTACCATGGCTTTATTGGCTGCCGTCTTTACTACAACTACGAAATGTATGAAATAATTGCGTATCTTCATTATGCTCTACTATTCGATAGATAGCAGTGTTGAAGATCGTGGTCCCATTCACGACTGTAAGAGAATGGCCACAGCTTACTACATTTCCTACCAAATTGCCATTTCCTTCTTTATGATAAACATTTTCTTGGATTTCGTCATCTTGACTTTCCAGAATGAAGTTCAACCTCAACCCATGAAACATGCAAGCAGTTATTGTAATGTCCTAAGATTTTATGTAGTGTAGTGTAAAAAATTTGATAGGTCTGTGTTTGCAGGTATATGTTTACATATATAATTTTTTTTATAAATATATATATGTATATATTAACTAGTCAAAGGAAGTCGAAAACGGCCGAATTCAAGAAGAATTGGTGCATGATTGTGCAAGTTTATATTAATTCAGAAAGTAATTCTATTTATCAAAATTAGGGTACGACAATTTCTTAGCTCTTTTCTGTCCAACATTGCAATTAAAGAGCAAAGTGTATCAAGATATAAGTAGAAAGAAGTTATCGTACAATGTCCTTCCGTCTTCCGGTGTGTACTTCTAAATATTATTCAAAATGTCAAGGATGCAAAAGAAAAGCTTGTCATTCCTTATACTTCTTTGTTTCCACAGTTCAGGTAAGAACTTAAATGGTGTTTAAATGTTAAATAACAATGCGAGTTGTTATTGAAAGGCGAAATAATAACGACTTAATTTTATAGCTTACACAAACTCAGGAGTACAAAATGACGGCGATGACGCTTGGTACGAATTCGACAGGATTTTCATTCTCAACTCTGGAAACCACGACGACTTCTTAGACTCGGAGGATCACGTTACTCTAATGTATAGTACAGGTTGTGTGTTCAGAACTTAAATATTCAATTATGTCGTTATTAGTAATTCGTAAGTTCTTAGACTCTGAGCGTTCATCGTGTGGGCCTGCACGAAATGAACTCAAAGAGCATGGATTCCACTTCACTTGTATGATTACAGTTGGGGACATCAAGTGATAGAGCTATATATAATTTAATAAATGTCAAATATATTCATTTATGTATTCAATAATTTGCAACACTTCGATTTATGCATCGATATTGCGGTTCATGGTTACCTCAGCGTTTGCTGTTGGGTCAATTCGACTTATGCAATCATTTACTCTAGGTCGAGTCTGATGAAATTCTTCGTGGACCACAAAATTGTAAGCTTAAAAAATGAAATATACAAATACTATCAATTGCATTCTAAGCTCGAGCATTACCATGACTTTGCAGTTGGCAGGCAAGGTCGGTGACACTCATGGATCTAAAGGAAGGGATAAATCGGCTTCAGTACTTTGTTGCC